TGAACATATGAGCCCACAGCTAAACAAGGGAGGGAGCAAGTCTTGCACCTGACGTTGCGTACGCAGAGAGAACTTACAGCCAACATGCCTTCAGCATCGTGGTCGAGTCCTAAAGCACCTACGCGCAAGTGACACCGGCAAACCGTTTAGAGATAGTTGGCGGATCGCATGAGGCATAAGGATCCGCTTGGTCGGGCAAGCGGGACAGTCGGACTTGGGCATCTACGTAGACAACAACTCTGCGGAAAGAGAACAACTTCGCGCACTGCCAGCCGACAGTCGCAGCAATGCCAGGTGCCCCAAGCGCGACAGAGGGCGGTCTCACGTGGCGGTGGCAAGATTGGCAAAGGTGCCAGACTCCTCGACCATGAAGCCCTTGAGCTGCGCCTGCTTGTCCAAGTGATCGCCCTGGGTGATGTCAGAGAGCTCGTCTGGGTTGGTGGAATTCAACCATTTCAAGAAATTCCTGCAGTAACGCGTAACAAGAGCCCATGCTAGTGGGTTGCGCATGGCTTCCTCACAGAAGTGGTGGGGGCTGACCAGCATCAGCCTGCTCGTGTCCGCTGCGATGCAATCGCCCAAATGGTACCACTCCGTGGACCACAGCACGGGCTCCGCAATCCAGTCCTCGCCCTTATCGACCATCTCACAGAGCACCCTCCCCTCGGAGGTCACGCGCTTATACTCGAACCGGCCCTGTATGACAATGGACATGTGGCTCGGCTTCTCGCCGTGTATGAACAGAGGGTCGAGGTTTGCGAACTGCTTGGTTGAGATGGCCGTTTTCGCCAGTCTAAAAGCGGTCACAGACGACACATCCAGAAGGGTGCGGATAAGCGGGTAGACGTTCAGATGGTCCGCGTGCAGATGAAAGAGCAGCTCGTTCTGGAGCTGCTCCGACAGCATCGATAGAATCTTGATTTGCGAGAAAGACTTGTTGCGAGCCTGGAAACGCCATGCGTCCGCGAGGTAGCGTTGGATGCGAATCGCAAGGGTGTGCTCCACAACGTTGCGTTTCAAATATACCCGCAAATCCCAGAACAACTTCGACTCCTCCTCCGTGACGCTGCGGAGCTGCGCGAGGCTTGCCGTGATGCTGCCGACCACGTAGGAGAAGCCGACCAGAGCGCAGACCACCACGGAGATCGTGTAGGTGCGCTCTGGAAAATTCTGCGGCTGAATATCCATGGGCGCGGGAGTGAATCCGCCCCCGTGCCCCCTGGCACGCGTGGTAGAATGCCAAGCGCTCTGGTAGGTGTTCGATGATCATTATAAGGTCCCCCCCTTCCCCTCTCGACGCCCACCTTTTTCTATGCTTCCCGGGCCGCGCTGACACCTCACTGGGACTCTCGAAATCTCGCTAGGGCTTCCAAGACAGTCGAGGAAGACAACTTTGGTTACCAAGATGGCCCAACATTGCCCAAGAGGCACGCAGCAGCGGTCAAGAAGCACCGAATAAATGCCCAAGAGGCACCCACAAGCCCCAATACATGTCCAAAACACTATCCAGGAGGCCCTCTAAAAATTAAAAACATGGATCTTCGTACGCATTGGTTTTCAACGTTGTTAGCTTTCCACGCTTGTTAGCCGAAGATCAGTCCGATTGTAGTCTTCGAGGGAAGGGAGCGCTCAGATCCCCCAGAAGGCCCCTAGACTGCCAAGGACAGTCACAAAAGAGCCTCAAACTGACGCGAGAGCCTCCGGAATGACCCAAGACGGCCTAAGACGGCCGCAAGACGGCACAAGACGGCCCTTCGACGGCCCCAAGAGACCTCCCAGATCGCCAAGAAAGCCCCGAGACGGCCAGGGGGGCTCCCGGACGGCCCAAGGGGGCCCCAAAACAGTTCAAGAGTGCCCCAAGATGGCCCGAGAGAGTCCCAAGGGAGCCCAAAAACTGCCCCACGCGACCACACTACAGCCCAAAGCTCCATGAGAGCTCTTCAAGAAGTGGACACCAGAGGTATCATATATGACTGCTTTCGGTGCTGAGCTGGCACGGAGGCGGGACGTGCCGCAGGAGTCTGGATTGCGTCAACGACCAGTGTAAACAAGTCGCATACAAATAGCTCCAGCTCATCCCCTCCATGTTGTAGTGAACAAGCCACCGGTTGTCGCCCTCCTCCATGAAGCCGACCGCGTACCAGAGACAGCTGATGAAGTGACTGAGGACCAGCAAGAGCAGGAGCATGGTGAGGATGTTCACCACGATGTTGACTGTCAGCGAGTAGATCCTGTCCTTCACCTACAAGAAGAAAAAACGCTGTAAGCATAAACTTGTGGCGCTCCGCGCGGATTTCTTGGATCTGCGCTGGACCCGCCTCCCAGGCGCGCCAGGGGCGGCGCCGGAGGCGCCGCGGGGGGGGGGCCCAGAGCGGATCCAAGAAATCCGCGCGGAGTGCCAAAAGCTTATGTTTATTTTTATGGCGTTTTTGCATGATGATAATGATGAGGATGAGGATGAGGATGAAGATGAGGATGATGAGGATGAGGACGAGGATGAGGATGAGGATGAGGATGATGATGATGAACACGAGTATAATGATGATGTTGCTGATGATAAGAATGATGATGAGAATGATAATGAAAATGATAATAGTAATGACACTGATAAGTGTAACGATTATGATGATGATAATGAGAATGAAAAATGAGAATGGCAATGATACTGACAACGATAATAATACTGAGAACGACAATGATAATGATAATGATCCTGATAATGGTGTTGATGATGATGATGACGATGATGCTGACGATGATGATGATGGTGATGATGATGATGATGGTGATGATGATGATGATGATGATGATGATGATGATGTGTTAGCTCCCGCTCCCTTCCCTCATTTTTTCATTGGCTCAAGCACCAAGGTTCCGAGGCCGCAGGCAAGAGCGGTCCCACCCTTGAGCCCAAGACGGCAGCAGGCAAGCGGCGCGCGCGCGGCTAAGATGCGAGGAGGGGGACGCGGGGAGTCTAACTTTGCTTCACCCTTGTGAATCCGAGTTTATGGCGTGTTCTATTCTCCGATCACCATCTGCCACATCTTCTTCAGCCGCGCAATCCTGGTGAGCCGCACAAGGCGCAGGATGCGCAGGTTCTTCAGGAGCTGCACCGCCGCGGCGCCCTGCACGGCGGTGTCGCACGACGTGATGCGCTCCTCACCAAGGGGGCCCAGGGGGACACGCACACACACACACACACACACACACACACACAGAAGTACACACACACACAGACAGAAGTACACAAACACACACACACACAAGTCCCAGGATGTTCGCCACATGTCCCACATTTCCCATGTGTTCCACATACTTCCCACACAAGTCCCACGTATCTCCATCTCCCATATTTCCCCATATGTTCCCCATACTTCCCCATGAGTTCCCCTTATCTTCAGATCCAAGGGGACACACACGAATCAAGTACACACACAAATCCCAAGATCCCCCGCGTTTCCCCATATTTTCGGGGTGTTCGTCTTCCCCCCACACTTCCCACCTCTTCCCACAGTTGCCTGGGAATCGTCGATGAATTGTGTCTGTGTGCATGTTCCCCCCCTGACTCCTGACTGCTCCCGAAGCCGATCACGGCCATGATCCAGTCTGGCACCAGCGTGACCATGTCGATGATAGGGGAACGAAGAATGACATACACATAAAGACACGGGGACCCGCGCGGATTTCTCGGACCCGCGCTGGACCTCCGAGGCGGCGCCTCCGAGGCCGCCCCTGGCGCGCTCCGCGCGCCAGTGAGGGCGGTCCAGCGCGGATCCGAGAAATCCGCCCGAACCTCCGAGTTGCTGTGTCAATGTCATCCTTCGTTCCCCTAGATGAGGAACCAGCTCTTCAGGTACCTCAGCAGGATAGACCTCGGGGACATCACGATCCCGAGCCCCACCTCGTAGCCTACGGTGAGGGTCTGCGGTATGTTCAGGGTCCAGTAGATCAGCGTGATCCACTCCATCGAGATTGTCAGGCCGTCCACTGGGTAGCAGAAGACTGCTAAAGGAACAAGTAAAAGATCCCATCCGATAAGAACGCAACCCACAAGCTCCCACAGAGTCCGCGCGTTACTGCGGGGCGACGCAATGTAGAATGACATGAAGCCGCTGTAGGACCGTCGGCTGATTCGTCCTTTACCTCTGTTGAGGGATAAGTCCGACTCCACGCGTGACAGGGTCCAAGACTGATGGCAGTCCATCATTGATCGGCTGTTCCTTCTTTCCACCGTGTCGTCCCCCAGCTCCTTCGTGTACTCAGTCCGCGGCGGGAAAAGCTCTTCCCCACTCCCGGACCTCTCCTCCTCCCCGCGCTCTCCCTCCGCCTCGCGCTCGTCGAGGCTTGCGAGGGGAGCTCGGCGGCGAGACGGCGTCCCGGGGGTCACCCCGTCGCAGTCCGAGAGGTCGACTATGCCGGGCAGGCCCGCCGGCGCGGCGGGCTCGTCTGGCTGCCCCCGTGGAGCGAGTGCGCAGGCGCTGGTCGTCACCCGCCTCCCGTCCCTCGCCGGCTGGCCCTGCTTCAGCTTCCAGCGCACCTCGAGCAGCTGGCTGCGCAGCACGCCGTTCTGCTTCTCCAGCTCGGCCTTGTGTGAGCGCTTTTTCTTACTCGGCGTGTCGACACTGGGCGGAGGGGGGGGGGGGCGAGGGTGGGGCTCTGGCTCCGGACCTCTGATCAGTGCGACTGCCTGGAGCCGTGCGTCCTCTGGGGGGGAGACCCCGCGGGCTCGAAACCGGAGCCAAAAACAGCCAAGATCCGCTCCATGAAAAGGGGGGGGTCCTGGTGCTTGCTTTCCGCTTTCGGGCTCCCGGGGCCCTCTCTGTACCCTCCCTGTGCCCGGGGTCCGTCAGGCACCGAGGAGGAGGAGGAGGAGGAGGAGGAGGAGGAGGAGGAGGAGGAGAGGAGGAGGACGAGGAGGAGGGAGGAGGAGGAGGGAGGAGGGGAGGAGGAGGGAGGAGGAGGAAGGAGGAAGGAGAGAGGAGAGGAGGAGAGGGGGGAGGAGGGAAGGGAGGGGGGATGGAGGGGGGGGGAGGAGGAGGAGGAGGAGGGAGGAGGGAGGAGGGAGGGAGGAGGAGGGAGGAGGAGGGAGGAGGAGGAGGAGGAAAAGCTGGACTGGGGAACGCCCTGGGGGTCGCGGAGCCGTGGCCACCAGGGCCCGTTCCCCCTCGTGGCAGGTCCTGCCTCGGGCCCGAATATCGTGGGGGCCAGAGCAGCGCAAGTGCCTCGGATCGACAGGGCAGGATGTGTAATAGGATGCTTAAACATATAGGATGTGTAATACATGATTACTTCATGAACAACTTTATGCATGAACTCGTCGCTGTGTTTGATACTAAATCCCTGCATGTTTAACGCATGATCCGCACGCGGAGCCTTAAAAAAAACGGCACTGTGCCCTGTGGAGGCGAAGGGGGGGCGAGGGCCCGCGCGCCGCAACAAGAATCATGTCGGGTGAGGCCGCGTTATTTTCGGGGCGGGGAGCCCTCGCCTGGCCCCGCGACCGTCAACAAACTACTCAGGTTCAGAAGCCAGTCCTGGGGAATGGGTCGAGACCTCTGAGGGTCGACGTTATGAAAAAATCACGGCGACGACGTCGCCGATCGGCAAGACAGGGAGCAAGAAAACGACGGCCTTCTCGGACTCCAGCTGGCCCACCGCGCCGCGCACCTCCGCGTCGTGGGCGCCCGAGAGCCGCTCGAGGAGCGCGCGGAAGCCCTCCCGCTCCTCGGGCGCCCTCGGCACCCGAGGCCCCTCCTCGAGCTGCAGGGCGCTGAAGAGGAGCTGGTGCTCGGGCTCGCCCCGGTCCTCCTGGCTCGGGGGTGGACGGAGCCCTCTCTGGCAAGGCGTGGCTTCGTGGAAACGACCTCGGGCCCAAACCTCTGAGCGTTTTCCTCAGGGCGGAGGGCTCCGGGTGAGATCCAGATGGGCTTCTGCGCGTCCTGTGATGTTCCTCTTGCAGCTTCAAGCCTCGAAAATGCATCGAAACGGCATTGCAGACTTCGCCCTTCGCCCTCCACCCGAAGAACCAGCTCGGAGCCTGGCGGGCGCAAGCCTGAGAACGACGGCCGCGGCGCGGCGCCCTCTCGAGGGCCGAAGACGGGCCATTCACCAATCGACGTGTCAGGGCGGGGGGCTCTCTGCTCACCCCCGACTGTCGGAGCGCGCCCGCTGCGCTCGCGTCGGGCCCGTCCCCCATACAGGGGCGGATTTCGGAGGGAAGCGAAAAAGTGGTCGAAGAAGAGCTCAAAAAAGGCCACAGAGGGTCGAAAAATCGTCCCCGGACTATCTGGGGATACTCCTCCTGTGGAGGGACGTGCCCGACCTCACGCCGCGCACGCCTGCACCGGCCCTGGCCAGGGCCGACCCCTGGGAGCAGGGCGAGCTCCAAGGAGAGGCAGCGCGAGATCCGTCCCGCGGCACCTCCCCGGGTCCGAGCGTTAGGTCGGGCATGTCCTCCTGCAGGCGGATGTGAAGGGACCCTAGGACACACAAAAAATTGACACAAATAACCAGATTCTCCATATTTTCACATTTTTCCTGGGTTTCTGTCTTCCCCCTATATTTTCCCATGTTTTCCCATATTTTCTGGGGAGTCGACGATTCATTGTGTCTGTGTGTTGTTGTTTCCCTCCTAAGGATGTTGGGCGACAGTCAAGAACTTATCAGAAGTAGTCAAAGGAGCACGCAGAAGCGTCGCCAGACAATTTGTGTTGAAGTTATTCTTGGCGACTCTTCACGCAAAGGGGCATATGCCCGACTTCCAGGCCGAGCGCCCCAGAGTGGCCCAGCCGCGCCCGGCCGTGGCGGCCAAGGGGCACCCCGAAGGCCAACACCACCGCTGCCTCGGCTGGCCCGCCTCCGAGATCCTGGGCCCGGGGTCGGGGATCTACGGACCCTGGGCCCTGGTCCCTCGTGCCCCCCTCCTCCTCCTCCTCCTCCTCCTCCTCCTCCTACTCCTCCTCCTCCTCCTCCTCAACCTCGTGCCCCCCTCCTCCTCCTCCTCCTCCTCCTCCTCCTCCTCCTCCTCCTCACCCTCCATCCTCCCCCTCCTGCTCCTCCTCCTCCTCCTCCTTCCTCCTCCTCCTCCTCCTCCTCCTCCTCAACCTCGTCCTCCTCCTCCTCGGCCTCCGGGATCCTGGAGGCCCAGGGTCTGGCCCTCGCTCGGACGTCCATCTCCTGTGTTTTTTTTTTCCGGCTCCGTGCGTGGCTTTCGTCGCGAAGTGATCAGGGATGCTCCTCGATGGCCCTCGCCGAAGGAAAAATGCACACGTCCGAGCGATGGGCCCAGGGTCGGGGATCTGCTGACCCGGGTCACTCCAGACCGGGGCCAGCCAGACTTGGCAGGATCCTGCAAGATCCTGCAGGATCCTGCAAGAGTCTGGCGCTCTGGCTGACCCCCGTTTGCACTGACCCCCGTCTCTGATACGTCCCTTGAAAAATCCGGCGGAACCGGCACGAAACGCCCAAAAGCCGCCAGAAGTTCTGGGGCCCTTCAAAAACCACAGGCGCGCAGAGAAACGTCGCCGCCGCCACCCCTCCCCCCCTTTCCAAACAATGCCACCGGCCCGAGGGCCAAGATGGCGGACAGAGGTAAGGTTATGTTGTTCCCATCGTACTCAAGGACCACATCCCAAAGATAATTTCGATCACCCACAGAAGTGTCGAAACAGTGTCGAAAGAGTGTCGCCTCCCAGGGCCCGACACGTGAAAATCCTCCAGTTTCGTTACTCTCTTGGTGCTCGAAATTCTTTCTGGTGGTCAAGGCTAAAGTAGGTTGGAACATCATAAAGGTAAGGCCCCAGCTGCCCAGGAACGTTACTGGAGACCCCGCGAACTGCCGAACCTCGAGCAGCGACTCTTCAATCGGGCAGCAAGGCGGCACTGAGGGGCAACGATAGGGGGGACTGGCATAGAGGGGGGATGCATCGACCTGGAATCGGCGATACATCGCCGACAGATCGGCGACAGGCCCCCCCTGGGGAAGCCGCACCTTCCTGGGCGGGGCGGGGCCATCGGGCCCCTGTCAGCGATCGATGGGCGATAGGGGGGTCGAGGCATGCCCCCTCCCATGCCCAACCCCCCCCCCCTGCCGCTGCCCCGGAAGCACGCCGCCGACGTGGGAGCACACCGCAGCCGGTCCTGGCGGGCCGCGGCAGCAGCCCTCGACGCGCTCGGGGACGTGGCGCTGCGGAGCTCGCTCCGGACCATCGCGCGGCAGGCCCGCGCCCGAGCCCCGCCGCGACCGGCGGGGCCGCGGCGCGGCCTCGCCGCGGAGGCGGCCGCGGAGGCGGCGAGGCGCGCGGCGGCTTCTCCTCGGCCGCTGCCGGGGGCCTCCCGGGTGGGGCCGGAGCGGGTGGGGTCGGAGGACCGCGCCGCATCGCCGGAGCAGCTGCGACGCCTCGGCGGTGCATCGGCGCTGCAGCGTGGATGCGTGCACCGGCGAGGCATCGCCGACGTCGGCGATGCGTCGGCGACGTCGCCGTGGAGCACGCCGGGGTCTCCACGTCGAGCCGCATCGCGGCGCTCCGACCCCACCTGCTACGACCCCATCGGGCGGGCCCAGGGTTGGGTCGGGCATATCCCCCTATACGGGCGGATGTCGGAGGAGACATCGGAAAACATGGCCGAAAAAGACGAAGCCGAAAAGGCCCAACCACAGTCGAAAACTCATCGTCCCCAGGCTATGTCTTGGCCGTGCTGGAAGACTCCTCCTGTCGAGGGACAGGCCCGACTCAGGCCTGGAGAACTGCGCGCGCGGAGGGGGGGGTGGAAGAGCGCACGCCACGCCAGCCGGGCGGGGGGGCTGGAGCAGGAGCGGCGGCGGCGGCGGCGCCCGGAGGCATCCTTTCGGCCCTGCAGCGCCTCTGCGGCGACGAGCGGTGCTGCCCCGTGTGCACTCAGCGCGTCCCCTGCCCGCACCCGCCGGGGTGGAGCAACGCCCGCGGGCATGGCGCGGGGGCTCCCCGGCCACGTGCAGATCTGGTGCTCGCGCTGTCAGTGCTCTGCTCCCCTACACCCTGCGAAATGCTTAAGAAATCATGGGTTCAGAAATTCAGAGTCTCAGAATTTGAATAAAAACCCACAAATTCCACTAAAAAACTAGGTTTCCCATTGAAGCAATAAGAATCATCGAGACCCTGACCGAAACCTTACGTTTTCTTAAGCATCGCCTAGGGTGTAGGGCTTTGCAGCGCCGTCCGCACCTTGCTTCTGCATGTCCGAGCTCCGTCGCTGCCTGCACGTGCTCCTGTGCTCAGCTGCGTTCTGGCTCTTATGGACACCGTGCAGGCCTGAAGAAAGCTTGAGAGGTCCCTTTCAATGTGTGGGGCCTCCCCCGGGAACTCCGCGCGCAGGGGCGCCGAGATCTACACAGGTCCACCGCCGCTGGCCTTCGGTCGGGCGTGTCCTCCTACAGGCGGATGTTGGACGAAACATGAAAAATACTATCTCACACACACACACACACACAAAATGCTCAATAAGTACAATAATGGCAATAGCAATAATAAAATAAGAATAGCAATAGCAACAATCGATAAATAGATGAATATATAGCTAAGTAGATGAATATATGAAACAACAAAAAATCGTCCCCAGAGCATTGTTTGACTATTTGTGAACACTCCTCCTGTACAGGGGCAGGCCCGCCTGGACGCCCGCCGGGCCCGTCCTCGTGCGGGAACGGCGCACACGCCCCCTCCGGCCTTGCCCAGGGAAGCACACACACCGCGCCGGGCCCGACCGCCCCCAAAGTCGAATCGACAAGTCGGATCGGCGATCGAAATGAGTCGGATCGGCGGAAATCGGCAGCCGAAGCGGGAGAAGTCGAATCGGCGGAAACCGGCAGGCTAGTGTGCCTCCAATAAGAAATCGGAGCCCAAATCGGAATCCGAAGTCGAATCGAATCGGAATCGGAAACCATCGAAATCGAATCGAATCGAATCGGAGGAATCGAAACGAGCCCGCGGCTGGCGGAGGCTGCGTGCCCGATGCCGACAGCCCTGAAGCCAAATGCTTTCTGCCATGCCTCGAGGACGGCTTTTCTGCGTGCGCTGGCTTCCGCCGGCCGTCCTTTCTATTTCTTCTCGCAGCCCGCTGGCCCGCGGCTTCCGCTGACCCGCGGCTGGCGGAGGCTGCGCGCCCGATCCCGGCAACCCTGAACCCAAATGCTCTTGAGTCGGGCCTGTCCCCCTACAGGCCGATCTTGGACGAAAAATAGAGAATAGTCACAAAGAATACCCCAAAATTGTTTTTGTTTAAAAAATGCTCCACAAATGGCCCCCAGACCACTTTCTCACAATTTTTGACTATCCCTCCTGTAGAGGGACAGGCCCGACTTAAGAATACTTTCTGCCATGTCTCGAGGACGGCTTTTTTGCCTGCGCTAGCTTCCGCCGGCCGTCCTTGTTTCTCTTCTCGCAGCACTGCGCCCGATTCTTCACCTTTCAGGGCGGGAGCTTCGTGAGGGGCCTAGGGCAAAAATCTACCGACGCTGCGGCGCAGGACACGGCTACTCACATCGAGAATGGCAGCACTCGGAGGCCACGCAATGAGGATGTCAGAGCTTGGTCGCGAAAGCGATTGCCTTGCGGACCCCCACTCCCGCCACTGCGCGCCCCTGCTTCTGCGGAGGCGGCACTGCAGGAGAGACGCCCATGGCCCCCTCTGGGGTGTGGGCAACAATCCAACAACGCCGACAAGCAGCGACTTGCACCGTATTCTGACATTCGCTAGCGCCGAGGAGCGAGGGAAAACGAGGAACTCTGCCCTGGCCGCGCGGCCGACGACGGAACCTAAATGTACTCAGCTTTGGCTGGTCGGCGGAACTCGGGGCAACCCCGGCAGCGCCCCCGGGAGGTCCGCCCAGAGGCTCGGCCTCTCGAGGCAGGAGGGCGCCGACGGGGGGCAGGCTGGAGGCGCACCCTCCCGGGGCAGAGGGGCCCCGAGAGGTCAGGGTCAGCGGTCGGTGCTTTTCCCTGCCGTCGGAGGCACGTGGCGAGAGATGCCTTTGAGCATTCTCCCGTGGCGCAGAAGCACTGGATGCTCGTTCTGGGGACCTTCTTGGAGTCCCTCGCTCCATTCGTGCGTCGAAGCTGCGTCACACATCCGTCGAACCCGAGTCAAACTCGAGTCGAACCGGAGTCGAACCCGAGTCGAACCCGAGTCGAACCTGAGTCGAACTCGAGTCGAACTGGAGTCGACCAGATCCATTGGGGGTGGGCCCCAGGAAGGTCCCCGAGACGAGCATCGGAGTGAAGCATCCTGCTGGTGCCGCGCCTCTCCGCCGGCGGAGCCGCCCCCCGTCCTGCCTCCGCCGCCTCTTCCGCCGGCCTCCTCCGCCGGCCCTCCGCCCGGGACGAGTGCGCGAGGCCTCGCCCGGAGCGCCCATCTACGGGTGGAGAAGGCCTCGCTGCCCTGCGCGCGCCGCCGAGACGGCAGAGAGCGAGCGTCTCTTATATAGTCAGCACTTCGGCACTGGTCGGGGAGGGACAGAGCTCCCTTTCGTAAAGCGTGGTTTGGTGAGAACGACCCGAGGCCCAAGCCTGGCGGGCGCAGGCCTGGAAAAGGACGGCCACGGCGCCCTCTCGAACCGAAAACGGACCATTCACCAATCGACGTGTCACTGTTGGGGGTTCTGTCCAGCCCCGACCAGAGGGAGGGGAGGGGGTCTGGCTCTGGACCTCTGCTGAATGCGCCCGGTTGCAGCAGCGCCATCCTGGGCGAGGTCTGCGCGGGGCTTCTGGACTGGAGCCTTCGGAAGCTCGAAGGGGCAAAGACTCTAGATCCTCGAGGGGGTGCTCTTGGGCTGGCGTGGGCGTTCAGAAGCTCGCAACGGCGAGAGCACGAAAATCTGCAACTAATCCAAACAATGCATCTTCACCTCTGGAGGCCATCTTGGAGGTCATCTTGGGGCCCTCTTGAGGCGACTCGGGGACTTTGGTGGAGGCCTCCTGGGGACATCCTGGAGGTAGTCGGGGCCATCTTGGGAGGGACTGTTCCAGGAGCCCCGTCAACTTCCTTCCCTGGGGCCCCTCTTGGAACCTTTGTGGGCCCCATCCTGCCCCGTCCTGGGGACTTCTGGGGCAGCCTGGGGGCTGCCCTCTGGGGCCATCTTCGAGCCCTTTGAGGCCTGGCTGAGCCATCTGTGCCCAGTCTTTGGGGGGGACCGCCTGTCAGTGCTTCTGCTCTTCGTCTGGGTTCCTCCCAAGATGTAACAGTATGGCTTGAAGACTGCCCCAGAGGCCGCAAAATAGATGCAGGATGGTCCAAGATGATCCTATGGTGGTGCTCAGAGGCTCCAAGACGCCACCAACGTCGCCGAAGATGGCCCAAAGGCCCCAAGCCGGCCACGACATGCCCCCAGGAGTTTCCAAGGTAGCCCCAAAGGTGCCCCGCAAAAGGCTCCCAGAGAGCCCTGACATAGCCCCGAAGTGGCCCTGTTTGAACTTCGGGCGTGCCATACACGTTCTCAAATCGTGCCTGCACTAAGGGTGCTAACTTGTCTTCTAACGGACTGACCCTGGCTTCCCACCTGATAAAAACATATCCGAGCAGGTCCACATAAAAGGGTCGCACCCGATGGGGTCACACCCGATACGGTCCCAGGCGATCGGTTCCCATCCGATGGGGTCCCACCTCATTTGGTCCATCCAGATAGGGTCCCATCCGATAGGATCTCACCCAAAAGGGTCTTGCCTGATGGAGTCCGACCCGATAAGGTCCCAACCGAGACGGTGCAACCCGACAGGGTCCCGCCCCATAGGGCCCCACACTGTCGCACGGCAGAGTCTCACCCATTAGGGTTGATAGGGTCCCACCCGATGGGGTGGTACCACCTGATAGGGTAATCTGTAGTGTCCAACTCGTTATATAGTGCCCTACCCGATAGGAAGTACGTGAACATTGTCTTATTTGGCGTCTCGACATTGGGCGGGATGGAGGGGGTCTGACCCGGACCTCTCCTTAACGCGAATGTTTGCAGCAGTGCGTCCTGTGGGGGAGGCTCCACCTGCTCGAAGCAGGCGCCAAAAACGACCAAGATCTGCTCCATGGGGGGGGGCAGGGAGGGCGCGAGGGCCCGCGACGATCGGCAAATCGACGAATCAGAAAACGATCACTGCTCGAATTAGTCGTTTCAGGTCCACACGCTGGCATCTCTCTCAATTACACACAAAGAAAAGCGCTGGGTGGGGCGCCCGATGTACGCGCGAGCGTTCTCCCAGATG